ATGAGCTGAGATGTAGATGCGAGGATGTGAAGATGAGCAGAGATGTAGATGTGCAGATGTGAAGATGAGCAGAGATATAGGTGAGAACTTGATTGTGCAGAGGTGAAGATGTGAAGATGTAGAGGAGGCGTAGTTCTGCAGATGTTTTTTAACGAAGAACCCTTCGCAGGCGCTTTTGGGAAACAAACAAAATTAGCCGGATCCAGACAGAATTTGACTTAAACTTTCCCGACCGAAGTCAGTCCACATCAGTTCGGCTCCTTTTGGGTGGTCTCGTCTCATCCGGAGGGGCGTTGTTGTCGGGCATCGCGCTCATGTTGGCCAACTTAAGATGGTGGTGTTTTATGCTTGTCCATCAAAGCGACTGAAACCCCTAGGTTGTTTTCTTTTTCACATGCGGGATGATGAATTTTCTCTTTATTTATTCATTTTTTCTAAACAGGCATCGTACGGTATCAATGCATGTTCGGCAACCTCAGACATGTATAAAGATGAGGTCATGCCTGAAAAAAGGGTATCATCCAAATCCACTCAGAAATGACAAATATAGATTGACACCTGTGGGTTCCAGGGTCTTTCTTTCAAACCATATCCATGTATATATATAATTCTATATGTCAGGTTTCTTCACATGCCCGTATCATCTGAGGATGATAGTGACGCTCAAACTGTTTCTTGGCTCTGAGATCCTTCCTCATTTGCTTTCCATTTGTCAAATCAATTGGCACAGGATTCTTCGCCCTTCTTGCGTTGGAGGCCATCGCTAGTAGGTTCGAAGCCATTGCCATTAGGTTGGAGGCCATCGCTTCTAGGTTGGAGGGCAGAGCAGCCTTCAAAAGATGTATGCTGCAGCTACATGATGTTCTGAGTCCGCTGACTGCGTAAGGCATCATCCTTCAAACATCACTGAGGTTTGACAGCTTTGCGTTTCTTTGGAACTGCCCAGAGGCCTTTTTCGCAATGGCGGATTGATGCTCATTGCAGATGCCCATATCTTCATCCAAAGTATGTGCGGTTCTGTTGAGATACAGCATTGGAGGTTGAGAAACTAGATGCAAGATGGCACAAACAACATTGATTCCTCTGCTTCAGGCTATGCTGCACATGTTGGTGCTTTCCCTCGCCTCGACTCTGACGCAGTACATGATCTCGTACACCATCAAGCACCTTGGACACCCTCTGCGAGTTGGTTGAAACGATTTCGGCTGATCTCATCGCAGAAGGGAGATTTCGGACAGAACCCAGTGGTTTTCTCGAGGTGACGAACTTCATTAATCCATGAAGGTTACGTCAAGCCAAAAAGCTGGAAGGCATCTTTGGAAGAACCTGAGCGCCTGAGCATTCATTTCAGCGTTGTGTTGAGGCACTTTGGCCCTGTGGTCTTCACCATCATCGCCTCCACGCGACAAGTGATCTCTGTGCTGATCAGTGCAGTGCTCTTCAGCCATCATATGTCAGGCATCGGTCATTTGTCGACGTGACAAGCCAAAGCCCTCGCGAGAGAAAGCCAAACCCATTGGCCATCGCTAAAACACAGGCAGGGTTCCACTAGGTTCACCCACTGGTTAATCGAGAACGTAACTAAAACTTGTGGACTTTCGGGGGTCCAAAAATAGGGGACCTCGGGACTTCTCAAATTGCCATATTAGGGTCCGAGAGGGAGTCCTTTGGGTCGTTTGAAACAGATGCCTTCGCGCCAAGAGACGTCCCACATCGAAACAGAAATTATTCCTCAACGTCACGCTTTAAACGACTCACGTTTCCTGAAATAATGATCATGGAAGTGGATGGCAATGGCCTCTTGAGTGACCATCCCGAATACCAAACATGTGGTGAACTCCACTTCCATGTTCGCTTTTCTGTAGATTCTCTTTTCACCCCATTGTGGGATCCCCCCAAAAAGACTGCCAGCCATCCCGGCAAGTCCCGCATGCAGAACCAGGTCCCGGCGGAAAGAAGCGTGCAAGTCCCGTGAAGAGGCGTGGCCTTGGTGGCGATGTTCATCATGTTCGGCACCTTGATGCTTCGCTCTGTGCGGCCTTTGGCGAAGGATCACAACGAGCTGCTGTGGGTGATGCCTGAGGCAGGGCGAGCGAAGATGGGGACGTGGTGCGGTTCACAACAAAGGTGACGAAGAATGGGTGGTTGTTCATGTCAGAGATCCGGGCACTAAGACTTTAGGACCCCTTTTGATCTGTCTATTTCAATTTGGCCACTGTTTAACAATGAAGAGTTTTCATTTCGGAAATCAATGCGTCTAGTCTTGACAAGCAGTATGGTTCACTCACAGACAATAGCAACAAAGCAGCATCAGCGGCGCGATTAGACTTTCATGTATCGATCCCTTAAAAGACAGGACTTGGTCACTTGCCTGCTGTTAAGTCCGCAAGCTTTTGGTGTGGTTGGGTCAGAAGTTGGGCTTGCCAGCTTTCGATTGGTCGGAAGAGCAACTTGCGAGCAGATTGCATTGTTTTGTTCAACCCAACAAAGTCAAAACTATAAGTTCAAGTTCGCTTAGAAGAAGTTCAAGTCAAAACAACATTTGAGTTCAAGTTCGCTTACCTCTCAGAAGAAGAATGTGCGTAAAGGCATCATGTGCCTTGATGATACAGTAATTCGTGATGGACAGGTGGACACCAGGCTGGCGAACCCCAGACATACTCACTCAGAATTCCAACTCCTTCAGGACACACTTATGGTCTTGGGACGATGAACCCTCCTTCAGTGCCACAAAAAAGCTGGCTTGACTAATCCCCGTTCCCAGGACTATCAGCGGATTCCCTTGCTGTTCCTTAGCTGCAGTCTGGGACCGGGGTGTGCCACCGTTGAAAAGAAGGTGCCTTTTTCTGGGTTCTGCAAGACATGTTCTTCCGGTTTGATGGGTAGGTACGATTCTCCACGCACCGCTATCTTTTTTTCTTGTATCTATATATATATATATATCCAGCAGATTCAGCAGATACTTTTCTTGATTGGGGATGCACTTTCCGATGACAATGGGCTACATATGAAAAGAGGTCGAGGTTGAGCCAGGCGATTACCCCGAGCCGTTTTCGGTGGTGATCAGACCTCATCACCTTGAGGATCAACATATGCTCTTGTTGTGATGTCAAAAAGGATAAATGGCACAACTTACCATACAAAGGTACGATTTACCATATAGCCCATACACCTTTCGAGGGGTTATACATTTATTGATGAGTATGTTGGATGTTCATCCGGTGTCTGGTGGATTTCATTTCAGTAGGTTGCTGCCCTGGACGTGAAGAGTTCGTTGAAGGTCGAAGCAACGTCGCCAAACAGCCGACGCGACAGTGTTGAAGGGGTCTGGCTCAACAGATGCATCATCCGACGAACGTGCTTGGAAGATAAATCTTCTTGAGGAAAAGGTGCCACCCGGAACGGTTGAACTCACGGTGCCTCTTTTGTGTCTGGTCGAACGTGGATTTCTGCATATTTCTGCCCTACTGGCCCTACTGGTACCGCTGGCACCACGGAGCGGACACCACTTTCACACTCGAGGCGTGAGGCATGACGCACCGCTGACGTACTCCTTACGCGCACTGTCCAAGAAGGGCGTTGTGCAGCTCTCTTTTTGTGCGCACCGTTTCGTTCGGGCTCACTCCAACGATCAAGAAGTGGCTGACGAAGGGGCCCTTGGTTCGTGCCCCCGCTTTCCCTGACCCGTCGTCGTTCGCCGGGATCCCACTGAGCGGTCTCCGGTCCTCAGGAGCTTCTCGGCGAGGCGGTGGTGGGTGGTAGGTCGCTTCCGAGGGCGGTTGCGGGGGAAACCGCGGGTGAGTGAACACCAAAGAGGACGGATGGAAAGAGAAGAACAGGCAAATCCCCCTGCCCCAAGGCGTTGAGTCATGCTGAAAGGGGGTTCTTTGATGGGTCTCCCTTGTTGATGTGGTGATTTTGAACTGGGTACACCCAAAGCCGAGGGGTGATCAACCCAAACCTCAAGCTGAAGCGCGATGGATGTCTTTTTCTATGTTTGTTTGAGACCGGGGATCTGCGCGGTCTGTCCTGGGATGGATGCCAATGGTCGCTCACCAAGAACACATGTCCCCCGGTCGGATTTCGGTACCTGGAAGATCGGCACGGCAGATTCACTGGAACATATGCCGTCGGCAGTCGCCTTCCCTTCAAAGAGTTCGGTTGACCTGGTATGACCTGGTTCTGTAGTGTCAAGTCCTTAGTAAAACAATGGTTGTCCGGTGGAAGAGGCTATTATATAATTCAATGGTGGTTGGAAGCCTAGGGCATGCGTACTGGGACGCAGGCTCTCAGTGTTTTCACCTCTATTTATTTGTACGCAGCTTGGCGGCATGCTGTCGTGCTTTTGAGTGCTTTGAGGGCCCATCCATTGACTGCTTTTGGAGAATGTACATGACACTGGGAAGTTTCTTATGGAACCACTGGCTGTGTATCTGGAAGATTGAACATAAACAGAACTAGATCAAAACCCCTTGGGCCAGGGGTCCTGCTATTTAAATCGCATCCACATCTCCGCAGTTGAACATCGAAAGCTGGTGAGATGAATGCTTCTTCGCTGAGGACTGCCATTCACGTCGTCTACATCATCTACACCCTGTTACAGGCCAGGAAAGCAGCTGAAGCGGACTCGACCAGCTCCAGAGTGCAAGTTGGGGGTTTCTCAAACGAAACGACTGGGAGTCGGGAGTCCCAACTATTCACTGAGCTAAGCGCCTGTCCGGAGGTTGAGGGTCCGGTCCTCCTCAGGAGTTCCTGTCCACTCACACCTTCGATGGACACCTTTTCAATTTCCCGCTGACCTTGGCCACTTGTCTGAAGGGGCGAGGTTGGAAGAATCAGCTTTTGGCGTTTGAGAAGCTGCCAAACTGTAATTGCAGAGAAATACTGGGAACAAGGAGTGGTGGAGAGGGGGCAGCTTCTTGCAAGGTGGCCATCTCCCACACTGCTGCTGCCCTCTTGTCCCTGGCAGCGCTCCGGACACAAGGGCACTCAATCGTGACGAAAGGCGCCGTCGGGTCGCGCGACGCGGCGGGGCACGACATGAATGTTTTTGGAAAGATCAAAACTAATAGCGATGGCCTCCAACCTACTAGTCCTGGATATGGTTTTGTTTGAGGTGCTGTTTGTGCATGTGGCGGGCTTCCCCTTTCCGCAGGCCTTTGGCAAACGATTCTTCCGGGGTCCACGGACCTCGTGGCAACCTCGCTGCAACACTCAGCGATCTACAAGATGCCCCGTGGCCAAACTGCTTGTGCAGTTCACCTCACAGAATGTAGACTCTTGATTTCTTGTATTTCCAGCCCTCAAGCCTGACGAGGTTTTTCAATCAATGTCTGGGGGGTTATTCAAGAAGAGTCTACATGACGGCTGTGCCTCGATTTCTTGCGCAATCCTGAGGTACTTCCCAGCACAATCATTGAATCATGGCCGCAACTCGAGTATGAGTAAGTGCATGAAGACAGGGAGATTCCAAGAGGCACCCTATGGGTGTAGACTCAACTTGGTCATACTAAGCAGCACAAGTACATGGAAGAACTGCATTTGGATGACCGTACAAATAAAGGAGGTCGGCCACGTGTTGACTCTTCTCCAGAGTGTTCTACCCTCTATAAATAGTTGTGGGCAATCCCGTTGCATCATGGTCGCTGGCCTTGTGGTCCGCTTGTTCATGTAAGGATGAAGACGCTGAAGGTGCTTCCAGTGATGATGATTGGGAACCTCGACAGCTTTCAGATGCTTTCAGGCTTACATGAGAAGGTACAAGAAGGTGAGGAGAGGTGACTGTATATATATATATATACTTCTTCTTGTTGTCTTTGTTTTCTCCCAAACGTGTGTTTTGGTCTCAAGACATGGATCATTCTTGAGGGGGGTTTCGAAGGGATGCCCTTGGCGACCGTTGGCCGATGCCGGCTGCACAGGAGCCACATGCTTTGGGGACACGAAACATGCCTAAGGACATGCTTGCAGAATCGTACCTACAGCAAACTGGATTATGCAGAAGGTTTTTTGCTCTCTTGTGTCTTGGCTCAGTGTGGAGTGAACGGGAGTGAAGATGCCAGGAAGAAAGATGTATGGAACACCAGAAGACGGAGACCACATGTTGACCCAGATCGAAAGGCAACCGCGAGCACATGGCGCAGTGACTGCAGCTGTTTTTCGGCCAAAGGCAGCCGAGAGAGTAGGCAGCGCAGTTGCACGCGGGCGAATAGCATTGCCCTTAATTTCATTTCCTGAACTCCACAGCATTGACTGTATTGATCAGAAGAGACCTGCTAGTCCTGCCTTTTCACTGAAGCGTCTAAATTCTTTTGAGATACCATGACTCTACGTCTTTTTCACCAGCGATGATGTTTTTCAGCGATCCTCCCGCACCATCTGCAGCTCGGCCGGATCTTGCATCGGAGCGTCTCCGGACGGAAGGCCACCGTGGCCTTGAAAATGAGACCGGTGCCAACCACTGCTTTCTGAATGTTGTGATCCAAGCACTCTGGAATTTGCAATCCTTCCGTAGGCGCTTACTGCGTGCACCATGGCATCAGCATGAAGCCCATGAAGTGGATGGAAAGTACGAGCAAGGCATCAGTAGCTCCTCTAGCAGCTGCTGTTACTGTGCCCTTAAATCTGTCTTCAAGGATTTTGCCAGCTCGGACGCCGACACCATTCCTCCAGACGCTTTGCGTCAGGCTCTGTCGAGTGTGTACGATGCGAAAGGCCGCTTCAAGACCGGGGAGATGGAAGATGCCACCGAAACCTGGGTTGGATGTTTATTGTAAGGGCTTCGCCCGGGTGCCGCCGACCCCTTTTCAAGAGGAGTGTAGCATGTGTAACTGAAGGCGTTAGTGTCGTTCCGGTGGTTGCCCGTCTGCGGAAAGAAGATGGGTGTTCTAGCCTTAGGCGTGGCCTCGGACAGGCTAACTGTGGCCTGTGCTAAAGCCCACAAAGGTGGAGATGCCAATGCCAATAAGGTTGCACTCTGCGAGGCGCCGAGAAGCGTCTGAGGGGGGCCGTCGCCTTCGGAAGCCTAGAAAAGAAGAGGCTGGCGTCGGCTGCTAGCACCGTACGTGGCAGCCCAGGCCATGCCAAGGCTGCGTGGCCTCGGACAGGCTAGCTGTGGCCTGTGCTAAAGCCCACAAAGGTGGAGATGCCAATGCCAAGGTTGCACCCTGCGAGGCGCCGAGAAACGTTTGAGGGGGGCCGTCGCTTCGGAAGCCTAGAAAAGAAGAGGGTGGCCTCGGCGGTTAGCATCGTATGTGGCAGTTCAGGCCATGCCAAGGCTGCGTGACATCGGACAGGCTAGCTGTGGCCTGCGCTAAAGCCCACAAAGGTGGAGATGCCAATGCCAAGGTTGTGCCCTGCGACCCCAGGATATACACCAACAACAGCAATCACAGCAGCAGCACTAAGAAGAAGACCCAGAAGCATCACAAGATCAGAAAAACCACTAGCAACAGGCAGCAAGAAGCATAGTAGCAATGCCTCTGTTCTGGCTGTGCTAATAGACTGGCGGCTGTT